GCAGACACCAGAGAGGGAATTTGTGTGGAGAAAGAGCTGTCCTAAGGCCCAGCTTCTGTCAGTAGCACAAAGGAGAAAGGAATATCTGTGAGGATTATCCTGGCTCCTCAGTTTCTTTGGAATTCAAGAGGAATTAGAAGGGGCCCAGAGCTCAGAAGTGTCCCAAGGGAGGCACAGAGCAGCTCCCTGTCCCCTTGTCCCCTTCCAGCAGCTCATCCTGGGGAGCAGCCCCGGTTCCAGGATCCCAGGCTGGCTCCAGCCGCTTCCCTTGGGCTCCATCACATCCTGATCCTCCTAAACCAGGAGCTGACGGGGCCATGGAACCCACACTGGAGCTCTGGAGCTGCCCAGATGTGCTGTGATAGGGCCACTGAACACCTCACCATCCTTAACTGGCTGCTCTAATTACTGCCAGCCCTAATTAGTGCCCAGTAATTATCTCTGCTCACCTCCTGCAAAGGCAGAGCTGAGAGGGAGCAGTGGAGAGAGGGGTTTGCTCTCTGCTCTCCTGCTGGACACAGGGCTGGGATCCTGGGATCCCTCTGGACACAGGGCTGGGATCCTGGGATCCCTCTGGATATAAACAGGGCTGGGATCCCGGGATCCCTCTGGACACAGGGCTGGGATCCCTCTGGATATAAACAGGGCTGATCCCTCTGGATACAGGGCTGGGATCCCTCTGGACACAGAGCTGGGATCCTGGGATCCCTCTGGATATAAACAGGGCTGATCCCTCTGGATAGAGAGCTGGGATCCCTCTGGATATAAACAGGGCTGGGGTCCCTCTGGATATAAACAGGGCTGGGGTCCCTCTGGATATAAACAGGGCTGGGGTCCCTCTGGACACAGGGCAGGGGTCCCTCTGGACACAGGGCTGGGATCCTGGGATCCTTCTGGACACAGGGCTGGGATCCTGGGATCCTTCTGGACACAGGGCTGGGATCCTGGGATCCCTCTGGATATAAACAGGGCTGGGATCCCTCTGGACACAGGGCTGGGATCCCTCTGGATATAAACAGGGCTGATCCCTCTGGATACAGGGCTGGGATCCCTCTGGACACAGGGCTGGGATCCTGGGATCCCTCTGGACACAGGGCAGGGATCCTGGGATCCCTCTGGCCACAGCCAGCTCTGTTTGGGATCCCAGCCTGTGCTCTCAGCCGATTCCCTCCTCCTGGACATTCCCATGCTCCGCTCTGGGCTGCCGCAGCAATTGGAGAAGCGTCAGTGGCTCTCCCCCCATGCTGCTCCTTTCTGTCCTGGACACATTTCTGTGCTCTCATCCACGAGGGGTGGGGTAATTAAAGCCTGGCATCTGTCCCAGGGGGCTCTGCCCCCTGCCCTGCCCAGGTGAGACCCCAGCCCCAGGAGCTGCAGCAAGTCCAGAGGCTGCTCCCAGGGCAGGTGCCAGATGTTCCCTTTTAATTCAGCACCCTAAACCAAAGAATTCCCAAAATCTGATGATCTTCACGGCCAGAACATGATTCCTTAAGTATTTCTATCTCAGGACACAAAAGCAGTTGTAAAAACTGAAATAGGAAAATAGAACTGAGGAACTCTCGGTATAATCTGGAATAAAACCTGGCAAGCAAGACTTTAAAACTTCATTAATGTAATAAAGAATAATAAAAAGCAAGCCTGAAGTCTATTGCATTAAAGATGAGCAGTTTCAGTCAGCTCTGAAGGAGCAGCAGCCTCTGCTGGGGGAAGGGGAAGGGCAGGGGAAGGGAAGGGGAAGGGGAAGGGCCTGAGGCAGTGCTGCCTTCCCTATGGACCAAAACCTGCTTGAAAAAAATAAATCTTTGTGGAAACCTCACTTTCTGGTTTTTAGTGAGTCAAATGATTGTCTCTGCACTCTCCACTTCACAAAATAAATATGCTCTCTCATCACTTGCTCCTGCAGGTTTTAACCACAGCCCTTTAGGCTGAGTGTAAATGGAGCTGCAGCCATTTGAAGCCAGCAATTAACACATAAAATCATCAGTCCAGAGTGGTCGGGGCTGGCAGGACCTCAGAGCTCATCTCATCCCAGCCCTGCCATGGGCAGGGACCTCCCACTGCCGGTGGCTCCAAGCCCCGTCCAGCCTGGCCCTGATGCAGTGTTTGGAGCACAGCCAGCTGCACCCACCGCCAACAGGAGCCTTGAAAAGCAAAATTCCCCCCTGAGGGCCCAAGGGGCTGGAGCTGCCCCTCTCCTGCTGCAGGGTTTGTCCCATTCCCAGAGCCTGGAATCCCCCCAAGCATCCACTGCCCGGAGCTGCCTCCCGGCCATGCCAGCACTCGGTGCCAGGCTGTGCCCCTGCCAGTCCCAAACAGCCTGCAGGGAGCCTCGGGCAGCAGGAGGAGGGACACAGCAGGCTCAGCCATTGCTTCAGCCACAATGGGATGGCTGGAGAGCTCTGGCTCCTGTCAGGATGGTGTTTTGAGCTAGGGGGTGATGTTTAGGTTTGTTTGCCAGCAATCCAGCGGATCCTGACTCGTATCATTACTGTCCTGAAGTGGCTGTTCCAACCATTTCCATTCCCTCCTCCTCTCCTTTGTTGTCCCTCAGTTCCTGCCTGGTTTGCCCGGTGTGGCTCAGGCAGGTGGAGCAGCAGGAGGGGATGGAGAACCCGGCCACCAGGAGCTGCTTCCTTCCAGGAGCCCCCAGAGTGACCCCAGAGGATCCCCCCAGCCCAGAGGATCCTTCCCTGCCTCTTGTGCCTTCGCTCCCAGCCTACCCTGCCCTGCAGGAGCAGCCCAGGCCCCCGAGCAGCCGGGCTGGGGTCTCAGCAGGCAAAGCTCAGCTCTGGCCCCACTGCCAAGCCCTGTCCCTGGGGCAGGAGCAGAACCTGCCCAGCACTGCCACCCTGCCCCTGCTCCCAGCCACAGCTGGCACAGGAAAGCGCGGGAGAACCTCTGGGATGAACATCCAAGACCTGCTGCAGTGAGCTTCCTGCTCCTCCCTGGGCCTCCAGAGGAAAACATCAGGACAGAGAGAAAATCCCAGCAGGGCTGTGACAGCTGACACTGCTCAACATTCCCACATCTGCATTTTCAGCCTCTAAACCAAGGAGCTCTGCCCAGGGCATTTTGATTTTCAGCCTGCGATAGCAGAAGGGCAAACCTTGGGAGTTCCTAGTGCCCAATTCCATTATTTTATTATGTGAGTTTTGACATGAATAACTGTCAGGTTTGGCTGCCTGGATGGAGCTTTAAATTTTCATTGGAGGTGAAATCTCCCACCTTCCCCCCTCCCCGTGGCATTCTCCTTCCTTCTGCAATCCAAGTGTCCTTTCAAGTTCTTCCTAATGGATTTAGTAAATGAATCAATTAGGCAGAGAAGGAACACTGAGGTGCTTCTGTGTAGATGAGTATTTTATGTTTGATATACTGAGTCAGAGCTAAGTAATTACTGCCATTTAATATTTATTTAATGTATGTGATGAGCTGCTGCAGCGAGGAACCGGTGGAATAAAACATCCTCTCCTCGTTTTCCCTGCACTCCGCAATGAGGGAGCTCTGAACAGGCAGGAGGGAGCAGAAACAGAGATTTCCTGAGATGAGGTGGTGCTGGATCCCAAATCCTGAGGGCTGGAGCAGCAGCTCCCATGGCATTCCCTGAGGAACAGCTCCAGAGCCCCGCTGCTTCTGGGCTCTGGCTGATCTCTGCAGAGGAGGGAGCTCTGGGGATCAGAGCTGGGGCTGAGACATGGAATGTGTGTCCTGGGATGGCCTTGGCACCTCCTGCAGCCACAGCAGCCACAGCTGTCACCTCTGAGTGCCCACAAGGGCTCTGGCCTGCCGGGCTCTCAGCTTCTGACAGACTGGTGGGGCTGCAGCAGCAGCTCTGGGGTGTCAGCAGGGCCTGGGGAGCCAGGGAATCACAGAACTGGATAAAACCTCAAAAATCCAGCTGTTCCCAAGGCCACCGCTGCCTCGTGTCCCCAGGTGCCACATCCACAGTAAATCCCTCCAGGGATGGGCACTGCAAACCTCCCTGGGCACTTCCAAGGCCTGAGCGCCCTTTCCATGGGGAAATTCCTGCTGCTGTCCCCCCTGAGCCTCCCCTGGCCCAGCCTGAGGCCGTTCCCTCTCCTCCTGTCCCTGTTCCCTGGCAGCAGAGCCCGACCCCCCCGGCTGTCCCCTCCTGCCAGGGACTTGTGCAGAGCCACAAGGGCCCCCTGAGCCTCCTTTGCTCCAGCCTCAGCCCCTTCCCAGCTCCCTCAGCAATTCTCCAGCCCCTTCCCAGCTCCCTCAGGGATTCTCCAGCCCCTTCCCAGCTCCCTCAGCAATTCTCCAGCCCCTTCCCAGCTCCCTCAGCAATTCTCCAGCCCCTTCCCAGCTCCATTCCCTGCCCTGGACATGCTCTGGCACCCAAGGAGCCCTGAGGGGTTGGTCCATACCAAACACAGAGGTGCCAGAAGAGGTGAGGAGACCCAAACCCAACCAAATTCCACCTGTTCCACACCTCGGTGCCTCTGCTGTCTGTGCTGTTCCCATCCCAGCTCCCCTGCCCCAAACCCCAGCACTCACCCCGAGCTCAGGACAGGGCTCCCATCCCTCCTCCCCCAACACAGCCCGGCCAAAGGGACCTCCCAGGTGCCCAAACCCTGCCCCAGCTCCACAGGCAGCCAGGCTGAAGCTCTGCCCTGGAAAGCTTCCCCTAAATCATCCATTTTCTGCTGTGCAACAGAAGCACCTCCTTATCCCTCTTTTCCAATAACAATCTCGCTGTTCAGGGTGTTGGATTCTAAGGGTCATCCTTTCAGGTGGAAAATAGCACAGAAATCCATTTACTGCTCTGCAGGTCTGTTATCATCAGCACTAACACGAATTTCTCCTGTACACGACAACATCCAAAAATTACCTGGGGAGAGGCTCCAGCACATCCTCAATTACAAACATTTCATTTGTTTTCCTTTAGAGGCAGCTCTAAAAAGAGAAGGGGCTGGCTCATTTACTTGATTTCTGATTAATTTTAAAAGCATATTTTTTGTCCCAGTCTGTGATCCTGTGCCAGAAGCTTCAGGCTATCAGGAGCACAGGTGATCACAAACCTCACAACTATTTAACCACAGAATCACAGAGTCCTTTAGCTCAGAAACCATCTCCAAAATCTTTTCTTTCCAGGTTCTTGGGTTTGGAATTGTGTTCCAAACTTTCAGCTGTATTTTAAGGCACAAACTACAAATTTGGATTCTTGGAAAACATTTAACCAGTCCCAAAAACCCATGTAATATATCAAGATTGGTGTCTGGTTGAGAAACAATTTGAATTCGTGGAATGAGAAAGTTATTTCTCACCCGTGGCTGAGCTACAGCATGAGTGTCATTACCTGGCTGTGCTGCAGCCTCTCCTCCACCTTTCCAGGAAATCTTGGCTCAGGTGTGGTAAGTGGCCACTGGAAAGGTGAGTTTTGGAACAAAGCTTTAGAGAGAGGTGAAATGAGCTGTTTGTCCCATCCATGGATGGCCCTGGAAGTGGTGGCTGGGCTCAGGGAGCCCTGGGGGGAGCAGGGCAGGGGCTGGGCTCTCCCCCCCACCCCAATTCCATGGCCTGGGTCCTTCCAGGGGTGCTCTGGCAGCTCTCAGCCCAGAACTATTGCAGCTGCAACTAGAAAGAAAAATAAAATATTGTTGAAAACTACCTGGTGTGGAAACCTGGAACTTCAAACCAGGTCTAAAATGACTTTAATTCTCCATCTCAGTCAGTGAAAAGCCAGATGAGATCTCTTGTTCTTAATTGGTTTGTGATGTTCATCCACTCATCAAATGCCTCTGAGGAGTGCTGGAGTGGAACAAAGGGAATATCGATGTCTTGCTCTGCCCAATTCCTGCAGCAGCTCCTGCCGGCATCTCCTGCTCCTGGCACAGGACAGGGCTGGGGTGGGGGACTGGGCAGAGCTGAACACTCAGGGGTGGAATTCCTGTTCAAAGGAGTTCCAAACACCTCAGCAGGCACCGCCAATCCCTGCTCCAGCCCCTCTCCTGTCATGCATTCCCAGCAGGAATCCCAGCGGAAATCCCAGCTGGGCTGCCCTGCTCTGCGGCAGAACAGGAATGGGGATGAGGGAGGGCTGAGGATGGGCTGGGAAAAGGGACAAGGTGGGAATGGGAGTCTCCCAAACCTCCTCTCTCCATCCTGACACGGGTGGCTGAGGATTAAAAGCAAAGAGAATCACACGGGTTAAAAGGGACCTTAAATCCCAACCCATGCCAACCCATCCCATGGATCCCATCCCATCCCATGGATCCCATCCCATCCCATGGATCCCATCCCATCCCATCCCATGGATCCCATCCCATCCCATCCATGGCAGGGACACCTCCCACTGTCCCATTCCCAATGTCCAGCCTGGCCTGGGACACTGCCTGGGATGAAGGCTGGAATAGGAATTCAGAAGCTGCTTAAAAAGAGCTTTTGTGCCCCAAAGATCCTCCCAGCCATGACACCAGCCCTGCACTCTGCACAGAAAGGAAAGGAAAAGATGGAAATCTGCATAAATCCAGGAATTCTAACATACCTAAAAAACCTCTGCCAGCAGACACAACCCCTTGTGCTTGTTGATAAAAATTCATTAGGGATGTTGAAAACGCTGTTCATCAATATGCAGCCAGCAAGAGTGCAATTATCAGCCAGACCAAAAATAGGATTACTCTGGATTTCTCCTCGGTGCTGGAAAGGAGAGAAGTGTTCTCATGCCAGGTGGAGAATTAACTGCTCTTGCTGCTTCTCGTCCCCCAGGGGCTGGGGAGGTGCTCAGCAGCACCTATGGAAATAAAGGGCAGCAGAAGCGTTAGGAAATAAGTGGGAAAATGGAATCCAGGGAAATCAGAAAGATGGGAAGGAAAGGTCCATCAGTATTTTGAACAGGACGGGGAAAGGATTGTCTAAAAAATATAGTTCATTGCTGATCTGAGAAAAATGGATTGAAGTAATGGGAAGGGTGAAAATAGAGGTAAATAATGATCCCGAATAAAGGAACAGCTGCCATTCCCCGGGAATGGAATTATTTATCCTTAAGCACAAATAATGCACCCAGCTCCCTGCTGGATGGGGGTCACCCCTCCTGGTGACAGGGGAAACGACTCTGACATCGCCTGCTCAGGATTTCACTCAAACCACGAAGTTCCTTAAGTAAGAAAGCAGAAAAATACCCAATCAATAGCCCTGTCTTTAAACAATTAGCGCCGTCTCGGTGATTGGGCTCCGGCTGGGAGCCCGGAGCAACCCCAGCCCTGCAGGGATTGATGGGCAGCTCCAGGCTGCTGAGAGATTTAATCAGGGTCTGGGAGGAAAACACAAAATCAGTGCTGATCAGATTTACAGGAGACAACAGAATGGCAGGAATGGAAAATAAGGAAAACTTATTTCACTAACACGATTCAATGTGAATCTCATAAAAACCATCCCTGCCCATGGCAAGGGGATGGCCTTAAAAGGTCCTTTGCAACCCAAAATACTCCATGATTGTAAGAGCATTGAGAAATGTTCCTTCTGCCACTTTTGAATTTCTAGCCAGAATTCCTAGGAATAAAAGGTAAACATTGGATCTGCTGCAAAAACCTTTACTCAATGTGCACCCTGTGAGCAAACAAATTAGAAAAATAGTATTTTAAAGGTTGTCTTCAATAGAAATGAAAAACTGCTCACAGAAATCCGATTGTTCACAGCAGGGAAGTGGTGCTGGCACTGAGACTGAGAGGATTGGGAAAGGCAAAGTTTGGGAAGGCGCAGCCATTACTGAAAGCAGCTTTGCTCTGGAAAATAATCCCTGGGAGAGGAAGGAGTTCATGGGAAGGGCATTCCTGGGAAAGGGGCTCTCCTTTCCAGGAGGCTGCTCCTCATCATGCCTCAGCCCTGGGAATCACCGAAGGGTCAGGCTGGAAGGGACCTTTGGGATCATCCCAATCCCATCCCATCCCATCCCAATCTCATCCCAATCCCATTCCAATCCCATCCCAATACCAATCCCATCCCAATCCCACCCCAATCCCATCCCATCCCATCCCAATCCCAATCCCATCCCAATCCCATCCCATCCCATTCCAATCCCATCCCAATCCCACCCCAATCCCATCCCATCCCAATCCCAGGATCCCAAATCCCATCCCATCCCATGGATCCCATCCCATCCCAATCCCATCCCAATCCCATCCCAATCCCATCCCAACCCCATCCCAACCCCATCCCATCCCAATCCCATCCCAATCCCATCCCATCCCATCCTGGATCCCTGGCAGTGCCCAAGGCCAGGCTGGACACTGGGGCTGGAGCAGCCTGGGGCAGTGGGAGCTGTCCCTGCCCATGGAATGGGTGGGATTTGAGGTCCTTTCCAGCCCAAACCATCCCAGGATTCTGTTCCTGCTCTGTTGTGTCTGCAAGGGCTGGAACTGAAGAGAAAATGAGAATTTCCGGCCTGTCCCAGTGTTTTCCTCCGTGTTGGTGAAACCCAAACACAGGAGCAGCTCCTGGCTGGAGCACTCTGTGCTTTATGGGGCAGTGAAGTCCCACATCATAAACCAGCCAGAACAGAACTGGGGTAATTAGGAATTAAATTCTCCATAAGGGAAAAAAATTAAAAGAGCATTTTCTCTAGTGATCCTTCTGGGTATGGAACAATTTAGAGGCAAATCTGTCACAAAATGAGCAAGGGCTGGAAGAGAGACCTGTGGGAAGCACCTGGTGCTTCTCCTCACCCCTTTATGAGCTACAAAACATCCACAGGAAAACAAAACTAACAAAAACTTAAAACCAGAAAAGAGATTCTCATGTTCAGCACCACAATTCCACTGCTCAGGAATTATTTGCCAGGCAGAAACACAAATAGAATAAAGGTATAAAACATTTGCCAGCAGCCTGACAGGCTGCTGGAAACAGAGAGTTCTCACTGACATGACACCAGTGCTTTAATGCAGAGAATCCTTCCAGGCACCATCCCAGCTCCTGATGGCAAGGAGAGAATGCAGGAAAAACAACATAAAAAAAATAAAGGATGGAAAAATCTAATGGAGTGTGACACTTCTGGGCAAAGCTGCTTTGTCTGGAACCATTAAAGCCCTGAAAATGAAAATGTGAAAATTCAGCACTGAAAAATAAAATAAAAGCACTGAAAAATAAAATAAAATAAAAGAGAAAATAATTTTAAAAAATAAAATAAATAAAATGAAATAAATAAAATATAAAATAAAATAAAATAAAATAAAATAAAATAAATAAAATATAAAATAAAATAAAATATAAAATAAAATAAAATAAAATAAATAAAAAATAAAATAAAATAAATAAAAAATAAAATAAAATAAAATAAAATAATAAAATAAATTAAAAATAGATGAAATAAAATAAATAAAAATAAAAAATAAAATAAAATAAATAAAATAAAACAAAACAAAGCAAAATAATAAAATAAAATCATTTAAAAAATTTAGAAAATAAAATAAATAAAATAAAAATAAATAAAATAAAATAAAATAAATAAAACATAACATAAAATAAAATAAAATAAATAAAACATAACATAAAATAAAATTAAATTAAATAAAATAAGATATAAAATAAAATAAATAAAACATAAGATAAAATAAAATAAAATAAGAAATAAAATAAAATAAGAAATAAAATAAAATAAAATAAAATAAAATAAAATAAAATAAAATAAAATAAAATAAAATAAAATAAAATAAAATAAAATAAAATCCGCGTGCTGAACCTGCCTGACTGGGAAGTGGGGAGACCCAGCTGGGGCCAGTCCTGTGGCTGTGTGACCTTGGGGACAGTGGCACTGTCCCCTCCCAGGGCTCTGACACAGCTCAGGGGCTCTCCCTGCTCCCCTCATGCCTGGAAATTATTGCCAGCCACATTCCCAGTGGGAATAACTGGCACTGACCTCTGTTCAGTGCTCCAGTGGAATCAGCTGAACTCCAGCTCCTCTCCAGCGCTCAGGAAGGGCCAGGGAAGACACAAAGTTTGAAATCCAAGGCTGCAGGTTGCAAAGAGGAATTAACAGCTCCTTGCTGCGAGCATCCTCCCCCTGTCAGAGACTCCAGAGCCACGGATTAACATCCTTTAAAGGCTCCAACAAGGAGACACAAATTACCTGCTGCTTGTTTGGCTTTTCCCCCTCTACTTTGTTGCTTAGGAACCACTGCAAATGAGGGGTTCAGTTTATTTCAAATGAAATAAGAAGAAAACCACACCACAGATGTTCTCCCACATCCAGGGAGGATATGAGGGTGAAGAACAGGAGTTTTCCATGCCTGAATCCCACGGGAGTGAGGCTAATCCAGAGTTAAAGGATTTCCATTAGCAGCAGAACAACCTCGAGGTGCCGGGAGTTTCATTAGCTGGGCTCTGAGCAGAGATTTTTATCCCTTACAACACCAAAATCTCCCGACTCTTTTGCTCTTTAGCCATTAAAAAACAAGAATGAAACACAGAATGTGCCTTTAGTATCAGCATCATCATTCCACAGAGCCATGGAATGTCCTGAGCTGGAGGGACTCACAGGGATCACAGGATCAGGAATATCCTGAGTGGGAAGGACACACAGGATCACAGGATCAGGAATATCCTGAGCTGGGACACACAGGATCACAGGATCAGGAATATCCTGAGTGGGAGGGACACACAGGATCACAGGATCAGGAATATCCTGAGCTGGGACACACAGGATCACAGGATCAGGAATATCCTGAGTGGGAAGGGACACACAGGATCACAGCCTGCTCTGCTCCTGTCACTTTGTGTCACCCTGGTGCCATCCCATGCACAGCTGTCACCGATGGACAGAGCTGCAGGGTCCCTCCTAAACCTGCCTTTAATAACAGCAGCTGTTGAGAGCTGCCATAATCCTGGAAAATGGCAAAATGTGATGGCAGACGAGAAACAGCGAAGTCTGTGGTGTCTCTGTCTGGCTCCTAATCCTTCCCCTGTATTCCCCCACAGCTCAGAACCAAGGAATGCAGATTTCCTTGGTGCTGTCCATTGTTTCCTCTGTCCTGCTGAGCCCCAGGTGTGTGTTGCCATCAGTGGTGCTGCTGAGAGAGGCTGTTCTCCTTTCCCAGCCCCCAGGAGGGCTCAGCAGGGCAGCCTGGAGTAGCCTGGAGCAGCTCTGGAGCAGCCTGGAGCAGCCTGGAGCAGCTCTGGAGCAGCCTGGAGCAGACTGGAGCAGCTCTGGAGCAGCCTGGATCAGCCTGGAGCAGCTCTGGAGCAGCTCTGGAGCAGCCTGGAGCAGCCTGGAGCAGCCTGGAGCAGCCTGGAGCAGCCTGGAGCAGCTCTGGAGCAGCCTGGAGCAGCCTGGAGCAGCCTGGAGCAGCTCTGGAGTGGGGTAAGGTGGAAGCTGCAGGGCAGGAGAGCCAGAGCCCATCCTTGTGCTCACACCCCACACTCACCCTGCCAGCCAGGGCTGCAATGGGAACATCCCAGCCTGGGCACGAACCCCCCCAGCCCCTTTGGAAAAGCATCTGCAGTGACTGATCCCAGCCCTGCTGCGGCTGCTGCATCCAGAACCTTCCCTGGGCCCGAGGGATGGGCCAGCTCTGCCCTGCAGCACAGCCAGGGAGGCTCCCAGAGCCTGGGAATGAGACTGGGGACAGGGGACATTCCCTTTATCCACGGGACATTCCCTTTATCCAGGGACAGGGGACAATCCCTTTCTCCAGGGAATTGGGGGCAGCACCCAATGCTTTAGCAGTGCCTCAGGTGAGGGACAGGAGGGTCCAGCCCAGCTCTGTGGGTTAAACCCAGCTCTGTGGGTTAAACCAGCCCAGCTCTGTGGGTCCAGCCCAGCTCTGTGAGTTAAGCCCAGCTCTGTGGGTCCAGCCCAGCTCTGTGGGTCCAGCCCAGCTCTGTGGGTCCAGCCCAGCTCTGTCT